CCCAGCCTGACCCACGCCCAGTTCTGCCCTTCACGCTCTCGGGCCCCCAACCCAGTCCTAGGGCTCGGGCTGGGGTCTCCCGGCCAAAGCCTCCCCCGCCATCTCCGGCTGCTCAGCAGGGCCCCCGCGCAGCTGCCTGGCAGGCCGGTGTCTTGCTGGCCAGGCGGGATCGGGCCCATCGGGGGACTCCAGGCTGTGCCCTGGCGCCAGCCCCAGCGGCAGGCTGCACCTTTCCAAACCGGACCCCGGATCAGAGAGTCCCAGCGCGCTGCCGGGGTGGGGGGAGCCTGACGCCGGGGGGGTGCAATGCACAGCCCAGTTGGGCTTGGGGGAAGCCAAGAGCAGGACTCAGCTGGGCTGCAGGGGTTGGGGGGCAGGAGCTAGCAGATGACTCCGCTGAGCTGCCAGGGGAGCCAGGAAGCGGGGGGGCAGGCCAGGAGGTGGGGTCAGCAACAGGGGGCCCCAAAATGACCTCCCCTGGTCCTGCAAAATCCCTCCTCCGGGACCAGTCAGGTCCAAGGGTTCTGGACCAGGGAGGTCCCAGGGTGCCGGAGCAGGGGGATCCAGCCTGTTCTGCGGGGGAGTTTCTTGCCAGACAGGCGCCGTCACATCACCCAGCTTGAGAGCCGTGTCGCCCCGGTGCGAGTGGGGGCCATTTGGACGGGCTCCTTCCCAGCCTGGGAGGACACGGCGTTAGCCTCCCCAGAGCCTCCTGACTCCAGAGCCTCTCCCCCCACTCCCGCCTCCCGCGTCCGGGCGCCCACCCCTCGCCGGCAGCCCTCGGCCGTGGGAGCCCTGCTGCCCCTGACGGGCTCGGTCTCCGCAGGGGGCGCCTTCGAGGTGAAGCAGCACAACTTCTTCAAGGGGCTCGACTGGGCGGGGCTGCTGCGTCAGAAAGCCGAGTTCATCCCCCACCTGGAATCGGAGGAGGACACCAGCTACTTTGACAGCAAGTGCCACCCCCGGGACCCCCCCCCGCTCCCTCCTGCCACGGGCACTGCCCTGGCAGCCCCCTGGGCCCAGGCAC